AAAAAATACAATACATTATACGTACCTTTATGTTTATGTAATACATATAAGAACTTATTAATTTTAAGATAAAAAAAATCAAATATATACCATTACCTGAGAAAAAGCAAAACCCAAAGATTTTGCCAACTTTACGCCATCTTTCCATTCACCACCTCCAGCACTATCTGAAAGTTCTGGCCGAATGCAAGGACTACCCAATACTTCAGAAATTTTGAATAATTGGTCAATTTCGCTTTGTCCAGGGAATAATGGTTTTAAAGTAAATAGTTCAGCCATGATAGTGCCCACAGCCCATAGATCTATTGGAGAAGAATATGAAGTGGAGCGAAGGAGGACTTCCGGAGCTCGATACCTAACAATCATTGTAAATTATTGATTTATTTTTCTCCGGGTTAGAGAAGTCATGCATTTATATACTTGTTCACGCTTATTTCTGTGTCGTTCTATAAATAATTACCCGAGAAAAGAGAAACAACCAACAATAGACCATTTGGCCTTTATCCCATTGTAACATAATGTGAACTCATGAATATTAAAGAAACCTACCATCTCGTGCTTACGTATTCAGTATAAGGTGGCTTAGACTTTATATCTCTCGCTAATCCAAAATCACCTACTTTTACTATATAATTATCGGAATCATCAAGTTTATTTATATCTTGAATGGGTTTAATATGCTCTATCCAAGGTGAATTTTGACATTGTTTAGAATTACAGGTTGAATCTGATTTATTTGTACAATTGCAAATTAACTTTTTTTTAGTCGAAATCAAAATGTTCTCAGGTTTCATATCACGATGAAATATTCCATGTGAATGAATGTGATGAAGACCATTAAGTATCTGAAATCTAGAATAATTTTATAATAAATGAGTAAACATCATAAACTTTTTTTTGAATCATTAACTATAAAGAGATAGAACATTGACAATACATGATTGATTGTACTGTACGTTCTTTCAATAATTTCCCTTTTCTGTCTTTAATAAATTGATAAAGATTTATTTCCATATATTCGAACACAAAATATAATTCTCGTGACTGCTGTATATAAAATGCCTCTAAGAGAGCTATAACGTTTGGATGTGGTGGTAAAGATCTGAGTGCCTATTAATTAGTCACGTGAATTAGATCATAAAATTTGAATGAAAAAGAGCTGATACTAATATCGAGATACCTTGAATTCACGCAGTTCGCACACTTTGTCCCAAGAAGAAAATTCCTTCTTCATTTTTTTAATGGCAACCTTTGCATCGCGATGTCATGTGTAATAAAGAAGATACCGGAACCGAAAATTATTAAAAGATTTTAGAGAATGATATGTTATTTACATTTGTAAAAGTTTGATCTGCTCAATCTCGAACCCAAGCTAGCATGTCTTCACGCCTTATTCTAGGCATTTTTCTATTAGTACATAAAGCTGGAAAGAGAACCCACCACTTTTCCCGTTTGCTTGTGCTGTGCTTGCATGACAGTGCCAAAGGAACCGTCCCCCAATTCCTTCGTAATATGATAGTCGTCCATTGTAACGATGATTTGAAGAGTTTAGTTGCGTTATTTTGTTTACGAATTTGATTATAAGCGTAATGTATAAGAGCAAATACAACAGCATCGGAATGTAGGGGAAAATTTCCGCCACGTGATCATAATCCCTAGTTCGATCAGTCCGGAAGATGAGATTTGGTTTGACCCCAAAATTAGCCAATCGTGATTGAGAATTATTTGTCTTTTAAACTTACTTTAAATCCATAATTAAGTGTATAGAACATTACAATATCTATATCTTTAATTATTAGCTGAAAGTAAGTTAAAAAGGCCGTTTTCCTCAAAAATTGCTTTCGAATTCACCTTACCCATTATACAACCGATCGTTCAATGACAAACCGATCGTTCATTACCTGAAAATACCCGAACGCTTCAACAACAAGTGATAGCGCTTTCTTTTATTGCTTAGCGTTGTTTTTTTTTAGTATTTATTGCTTATTGATCTCATATAGAGGGTTAAAAAAAACTTTTTTATTGAATGTTTCGTTTGTTATTCTTCACGTCACTTAATAGCGAGAATTCGTGTAACAGTTTATCGAAAAAGACCCTTATTAGACTCGATTTTAAGATATTGCACCGGATCAGAGGTACGGAATTAAATCACCTTGCTTGAATTCAGGTAACCGGACGACTTACATATGTGTATCGTTACTATAACATTCTGTTGGTTGAGTTTGAATGCCGTTGTTTGTATATTATTACTGTATGAAATAAATTGCATTGCCCTGCGACTCATTATTCGAGATGCATTATTATATTGTACAAAGAGAAAACTTTGCGTTGAATTTTTTTATTTGTAAAATAAATATTAATCATTTTAATGCAAAAATCTGATACAGTTATTTTGATAAAATTAGAATATCGCATGTAGTTTATTTTCGTTACAAATCTTAATAAGGTTAGTCTCATATGTATAAAATTTTCTTGACGTATTACTTATGTATACGTAGTGAATTTGCTAATATATTTTTCTATTACTGTATTATAGAGTTACTTATCAGTTATCGTTATAAGATAGTTGATGCAAAGTATTTACGTACGTACGTACGTAGGTTATACCTGTGGCTGAAAATTTTTTTCGGTTACATTGTGGACTCTAAAGTCACTTGTAGATTCTGCAAAAAGATTATTTAGATCTCAAATAGTATAGAGGCAGACTTGCAGCAATTCTAGTGAACTAGAGTCTGCTGAATTTCAAAGGTCTTACATAAGTTTCTGCGGATCTGGTTACCACATTTACAAATTCGGAAATTATTAAACATTTGCCACGTGGACGAAGTGGCCGAAAGAATTCGACCACAAGTATAATTTAGGTTGTACAGCAGCGTATTTCATTGAATTTTTTTATCTTAAAATTAATAAGTTCTTATATGTATTACATAAACATAAAGGTACGTATAATGTATTGTATTTTTT